TTGTCCCACCAGTGTAGTCTTAAAAGTACTGCCGATAATGTCTGCATTTGAGGTTGCTTGGTGAAAAAAATCGTTAAACAGAAATTGTGTTGAAATTAATTGTGGTTTTTTTTGTCACATACTGAACAGTCGTATTTACCGTATAAAATGTGTAGGTATGTAAATAAAATAATATTATGTTATATGTCCAATAATAATGCGAAACAATAACTTTAATAATATTATCCGGTGATAACACAAGCGAACAGAATTAATGCATTTTTAAATATCTATAGGTAGCCGTATTACCATGTGCATATGCTTGTTAGTTTTTATTAGGGCATGGATTTAAATGTAATTACTAGGGAGTGGATGTTTATGCTCCAAAAAATTTAAAAATATGCATGTAATTATGCTCTAAAAATTATAAAAATATGCATCAAAAAGGTTTTTATTTACAACTTATTTTGTTTATTAAAAATTTAAAATATATAGGTATAAAATAATAATTCTTAAAATTAAAACTTTAAAAATAACTGTTGGTACGTAAATACGTAAATAGGTATAAAACTTTATACAATATAGAAACACTTTGGACGAAAACGAAACTAGAACACAACTGAAACGCAACACCTGTACACAACACAACGAAAGGTAGAATACAACTTCAATTAACGAAATTGTTCGCTATCGACTCCGGCGATAACGGTGTTTTATATTTATTTTTGTCGCGGTATAATGTGGATAAGGCGATAAGGCTCAGAAATCAAAATAATCGATATTTCCGCCGCCGCCGCCGCCGTCGGGACATTTTGAACTATAAATTACGCGTGTCGAGTCCGTTAATATATTATTATATTAGTATATCACGAAAACCTCAAATATGCACTAAAAATATGATGAATTTAAAAATATGATCAATCAAATAAAAATTGAACAAATATGCAAAAATATGCAAAATCAAATTGGTAAATTTGAATTCTTAAGGTGATAAAACAAATTTATATCTTACTCCGCATTGTATTAAATGTTATTAAAAAATATAATAAATGCATAAACATCCGTTCCCTGGAAATTACGTAATTTTATCGAATGAAAATTTCTCAATTCCGTATACCAGTAGGCATACCATTATTTCATAACGCCCTGAATAAAATGCGGTTTTTTATTTTGCATATTCTCGCATATTTTGATAAAAATACATATTTTAAGATATTTCACCAATATTTACATATTTTGTAAATATTTTCACATTTTCGTAACTATACAGTTTTTATTTGTATTATAATTATTATATTGGAATTACATTTCAAAAGAAATTAAAGAAGTTATTTTAAATGTTGATTCAGATACTGCTATCGCTATTACATAAGCTGATATTTTGCAAAACAATGACTTGAAAAATCGTTTAGCATATATTTCCACAACATTTTTTTTTCTTGGTTGAAATAATAAAAGAATTGGAAACATCAAATTTAATAATAATTGAAAGTCTTACAATTGTGAACAATACAGAAAACACATTAAATGAAATGCAAGGAGAATCCGGAGTTATAATAAAAAATAAAATAAACTACGTACTCTGTAGTAAGGTTAGTTTACAAAAAACTAATACTATTAGAGATATTCTTCCGAATAAAAACAAAAATACGTCAAATAATATTGATTTAACATCATCTGACATATGTAGTATGAAATATGCCCCATTAACGTCTGTCGACGTTGAACGCTCCTTCAACCGCTACAAGTCGATTTTGAGACTAAACCGATGTACATTCAAATTTTTAAATCTCCAAATGTATGTTCTATCCCATTGTTTCGAGGAAGGCAATGAAGATTGATCTATCCTAGTTAAATATTTCATGTTTTTAAATACATATTTTGGCAAAAATAAGAACATAAATATTAATTTATTTTGATATTTTTATTACAGAAAAATCCGCGCTTTAGTTATAGTGTATATGTTTGGTTGATATTTGGTTGAAATTTTTTTTAAGGGGGGGGGCTATAATTATTCAATGTAAAAAAACCGCAGGGGCTTCATCCCCACAACTTCTTCTCATGCACAAGTAAAACACATTACTATTAAAAATATAAATATGTTTAAATTGTATAAAAAAAAAAAAAATAAATAACGTATATTTAAAAACAATTAATATTTTATTTTTATGACAAATATCTATTTGTATCAACAAAGATATTTAAAATATCATTGCTTTTTATATTTTTCGATATATCTTTTTTAATATATAGTATTGAAAGATCGCTAAACCTTAGCCAAGTTTTTATTTTTTTCATTGCATTGAAACTTCTTTCACAAGTAGCCGAACAAATTGGTATTATTAATGCTATTGTAAATATTTTTTTTATTATTTCTTATTTTACGATTTTCAAAAAAACTAACTGATAATTATAAAAATAACGAATAAAATTTCTAACAAAATTTCAATTTTGGGGAGCTATTAAAATATTTGGGGGGTAAGCCCCTCAAGCCCTCCTGATGTACGCCTACGAGTGTATATACATTATACATGTTAAATTTTTGTTTCACCTAAGAACTCCTGAGAAATTTTTTACTCTGGTCTCATTCCGACTACATGCAAATGTTCAAAATTATTTAGAGAATTATTATTGAGAATATTTTCGTTGCGCTTCGAAATTCACTATGAATAGTGTCAAACGCAGATGATATAGTTGTAGCTGAAACTTTATTGCGTCATATTTTTGAAAGCTCCGCGAAATACAAATGTTTCGCTCTATTATGAAATATTCGTAATAGTTTAAAATTAAACCATCAAAAATAAACTGTTAATGTAAACATTTTACGGATCAAAAAGAAAATTTTTACTATGTGAAGAGGTTCGAGATATACCGTAACATATCAATTCAAATACAGAGTAATATGTTTAACGGTTATTTTCAATAGTTCTATTCGAAAATACGTATCTGATTTTGTATCTTCGCTCTTGTCTTCTGCTGATAATATTGATAGCATTAAAAAAAACTACATACCGACGATTTAAGCGTTTCCGTATGATTTGAGTTTCCATAATTCGAACAACGTTAATAGTGTGGGAGGAGGAAATCAATACCAGCAGCGGCCGTCATGCATAATATGACGAGCACGTGCATAGACACGTAATATATAAAAGTCGCTTTCGATATTTAGCTACCCGTGAGACGTGGACGAAGTGAACCTGTAGTTTTCATCTTATATTTCATTATCGTGTACTCTCGTAGTTCACTCGGTCTTAGCGCGGAAAGCGATCATGACTAATGGATGCGAACGAACCGGGAAATTATAATAACGCATGGGTGGTATATGAGACATGCGGTTGAACGTCAACCGGGGCTTGAAGAAAAAGTGTCGGTTCGATGTGAGATCATTGCCGCAGAAAAAAAAGAAAACTTGTCCGTTGGCTAATGCGATAATATCGTAAATAACATAAACATTATTATAGTATAAATATCGTATTTATGATGATATTATGAATGTCATCATTAAACGCTACGATCGTTTTTTTCGGACCGCGCACTTATTTTATCTCACTAAAACGAAGAAATAATATTACGTTGGTTTTCGAACGAACGACTTATTAAATCCATTGTGTACTGAGTAACAAAACCAATATAATTGTTTTTAAACTATCAGTCGTCCGAATTCGATGAAAATAGCAAAAAAAAAAATGAATGCAAAACTTCTACGTACGTGGAAGACACTTCGATCTGATGACGCACAGGGATAAGTAAATGGGTGATTGGTCTTTTAAACTTATAACCAATGTCTCATTGTTCTTGGAAAAAAAAAAACTTTGAGCAAAACAATTCGGGGGAATTAGTAATTTTTATATCCAATGATGGTTGATACAGTAGAATAATTTAACTTCTTAATAAGGTTGATTGAACTTTCAATGTTTTAACATTCCCGGAAAGAATACATCTAAAATTGGAAATGAAAAGTGTCTATAGACAGTGCATATTTCATGAAATGTCTTTAAATAGCTCATATAAATACTCAGTAAATGTTTCAAATCGTTACGATTAATATTTACAGGATAATAATTAAAAAACTAACGTTGCTTAATGGATATTCTTTGAAATATTCGATCTTATCAACATTTAATTTTATTGCATTTATAAAACATTTTTGCGATTTTCCAATAAATTTATATATTTTTTTTTGGCTAAGAAGAAAATCTTAGAAATGTTTCGTATCCAATTTTAAGCTCTTAAATATAAATAATGAAATTTATATTAATTTTTAACTATAAAAATATAGCGGATTTTCGTGATTTTTTTTCGTTAATATTCAATCGCTCGTAAAATCGTTTTTTTTAAGTCAATCCCTAATAAATATTTATGACGAACATTATATTAAATTTTCAAGAATTCTTGTGAAACCAAAATTATTTTATCGACGTTTTCGAAAAAAGGTAAGAATAATGAAATTTGTAACTATCTATAAATAATTAAAAAAAAACATTTTATAAATTATGCTATTTATAGAAAATAGTGATATAAGCATTTTGTAAAAATTTCAAATCTATACCGTTCTTTTTTTGAGTTACAATATGAACGCAAATTTGATTATGCTAAAAACCCGTGTGTCATACATTTTGTCGCTTTTTGTTATAATTTTTTCAATAGTTTTCAGTAATTATATAGAAATGTGTTAGGAAATTCGTAAAATGATCACTTTCCAAGTACTAACTAGGAAATTTTTTCTACCGTCTATTTTTTGTTTGGTGATGATCAAAGCAATCTTTTTAGTCTAAAACGTGAACATAGACAGAGAAAAAAAACACACACGCATCATGATAAGATCAATACATTTCTCGTATCATTCAAAATTATAAATTTCGTATCAATTATATTTTTAAGTGTACAAAAGATAAACAAAATTAACAATACATACGAGTAGATTCGTTGTTTCGTGTTGTTTTTCTAACAAACATGTAACTGTAAACTGAATTTAGTTTGGTTCCGTATTTGGTATATAAATATATAATTATAATTCTTACCTGGTCCGAATTCGTTGTTTTTGAATATGAACGGTTGCACTGTGAACGCTCTGAGCAGCACATATCCCTTCATCGTAGGCACGTTTTGATCACTCAACACAACGCTAATTTCTTTCTGACACGAGTATGACTGTCCGACAGGCGTCATGAACAACAGTGTACCATAACTGGACGTTGTTGATAGGCGTACGATTTTGTCTGAAAAAGGTAATAATGTCTTCTATTCAGATAACGCGTGTACATAGTATAAAATATTATAATTCCTATCTGGACACTAATGGTACACTGGAGGGATACGATTGCTGGTCGAGTTTTATCGTTAATATTCATGTTCAATCGTCTATTGACTCTCGCAACGCTTTCATGTGTACAAAACGCACGTGTCAATTTAATGAAACGTACTCGGTGTGAATTTGAAGCACACGTTTTATTTCACATTATACCAGCTGCGGAGCGACGTCAAAAGAAAAACGCGTAATCCATTTTCAACGTTTAACATCCTACGACTGCGTCCTCAATCACAATATTTTAATTATTGTTTTTTTTTCTTTTTTTATCAACGTGTGTAGAAAAGGTAAGTTATTTTCATAAAATACATCTTTTTAATATGGAAAATATGATTAACGATTGAGAGCTCGGCGGAGTTGATATTTTTAACAAGAGCTCATACATTTGAATTCCGCGCCGAGATATAACGGACAATTTATAATATTTTCTTTTACATCTGAAATTATTTATATATCGATATATACTGATGAAACGAGTAGCACAGGTAATATTTTAACCATGCAGGTATATATACCGGATACTATATCTTCTGGTTTATCGCGTCCGCATTACTCGGGTAGAATATAAATCTAATACTTCTACATTAATTAGGAGGGTTTGAATTTTATAATATGTAATAACTGTTATAAGGTACAGACATAAATAGCAGTCACTTTTGATAAATTTATTTTATGCGTCAGGAACTCCAAAAATGAAATTGTATTTTGCTATTTTTTCCATATTTTAAATTAAATTTTGATTTACTTTTTTTTTTTTTTCTATTTTTTCTATTTTTATAGCATATTTTAAAGTATTTTTTTGTTATATTATCGTGCATATTTCTGTACTTTACAATGCTGAAAAAACCGAACCCTGTTAATCAGAACGTGGCGTGTGTGGTTCAATATATTATAGCGTTACTTATAATTGGCATTATTTCCGGCATAATTAGCATCGAACGGTTTTTGAAATCGTTTAAAATTATTTCAAATTCCACAAGCATGGATCGAGCAACTTTATTTATTTATTTATATATTTTATACGGACTGTTAATCCTTTTAGACCCAAATTAATTTCTTGTGGATTTAAATTTTTTTTGTGGTATATTTATTTTACTGTATACTGTAATAAGAGTAAAATATTTTTGAAAACATTTATTTTTAGTTTTTGATGACTTTGGAAGTATGTCCTCTATAAGTGACATTGGATCTAAATGGTTACAAAATATTAAAATTCAAATTCAAATTAACCAATTACAATCATATTATTATACCAATATACAATAAATCATTATACTACTAGGTTAATATTTATTTTAAACTTATATAAACTATTTACAATTGGACCTATATTATACTTATTTGCTAATTTCAATATTTGATTAATCGGCGAGTTTGACATTAAATTAGTAGAAGTTGAAAATGGGTAATGCAAATCATTATTCTTTAAACTATAATTTATTACCTTAAAATTAATCATTGACAATAGTTCAGAACTATCTATAAGATTATTAATTAGATTATACAGAAATATTAAATCCAATTTATTTCGACGTAATTCTAGAAAGTCTAACTTTAAACAATTTAGTAGATGTACATACGATGAATGTGGAGCTCTATAAATATTACAATTAAAAAATAAAAATCGCAAAAATCGATTTTGTATGATTTTTATGTCGTGTTTTATGTTTAGTTGATGAGGAGACCAGAGAGAAGAATTATAATCAAGACATGACCAGAAAAGTGAGCAATACAGAGTTTTTAAAGTAATCATATTATTGAAATTATTGCAATGTCATTTAGAAATAAACGTGATCGCATGGTCGGTACTATGATAATGTGTACTTCGCAATGACATCAAATAATATCGGCAATACTCAATATTATCTCGGTATTACTTCGGGTGTGTGTGATCTTGGAAAAATGTTCTATATGAATTGGCGCGTTGAGTTAATAACACAACGGTCGCAGATTGTTTCTCTCGCTTACTATTCGTATTCCTAAGAACAATCGATCCGAACCCCGCCTTGTTGCATAGAAATTATAATTAAACGTCGGACCGGATCTGGCGGACAACAATAATTATAGACAATCCGCGTGTTTTCAAACTTGTTCGGGCTCAGAAGACTGTTATCGAAAATCTGTACATTGTTATTGTACGCACAGCGCAAATAATGGTCTACCAAGGGCGAAGTGATTACTGTTTCTCAATAGCTCTTATAATTTCACAAACTCAACTTAATCAATCACCACACGACCGGTTGTTAAAACCTACCGGGCGACGATAGCTGTAATTCAATAATTTATTATTAACCGACATGTTCGTAGACGAAACGAAATAATTTCACTCTCGTTGCACGATATTTCAGTTCATCAAATATTAAATTGTATCTAATGTACTAATAAATTATCTTGTACCTTAGTTCGTCTCTGTTCGTTAGATATAATAAAATCCTCTACGTTTCAATAATAAAAATATATAATAATAATACATTGATGATGATGATGATGATGATGATAATAATAATAATAATAATAATAATAATAATAATAATAAATTATAATTATTTCGAATTTTTTATTTATTAATCCATGGTATAATCATCGTCATGAATTATTCATACGATCCGCCATGTTTGGTTGCTCTATTAATTTACATGAATAATAACGAAATTTCTAAACTTCAACCATTAAAACGCAAATCCGAAGGATGGGATATGCCAACGAGACTCGTCAAAACAAAAAATCACGGTTACTGCGATATTTTCGTAGAAGTGTATAAAATAATTTTTTTTGGGGTATGAATCATAAACATTATCGGAGTTAACGGCTCATTAAATAAATCCAAGTTTGATGTTTAAAAAGTAGATTCTAACACGGAAACTTACATTACAGCAAATCTGCATATTGTTTTCGTTTACAATGTATTGAATACAAGTTGATAAAATTACTTTGTTTCTCTTTCAGTCACAAAATTATTTTGAAATTCATAAACTAATATGCAATTACGTCTCTTCCGTAGAGATTAAAACAACCGTTAGGTCAATATAGTCGTATACTATTGAACAATTACAATTTCGATTTATTTCTAGAAAATTATATGGTGTTATGTATGATTATTAGACGAATATTATGTTTGAATAAAACGTACCAGAGCTGTGTGTATGTTTCGATCAAAGATTTCAAGCAAATTATTTTAAACTATATTTATATATTTTTATATTGTAATATTTTTAGCGGAATTAAAGAGAAGTGTTGTTCATAAAATAAATTATCGTTATAGTATAAATAGAGTGAAGATGAAGGCGTGTTCCATAAGAGGTTGTTGATATAAACGTTATTATTTAAAATCAGCTTTGTTCGTGTATAACACAACACAGAAATTATTCGTTATAATTATGAGTACGCACAAAAACTGTATGAAAAATATAATTATAAACGAAATAATTAGGTTCAATTTATATAAAATGCTATATTCAATTATTACATTTGAACTTAAAGCACATTTTCCTTAATAATTTAACAATACTAATTGCTTTGAACTCACGTAAAATTTATTTAGCAGTTACACGCTTCAGTCACTGCCTGAAACTTAATTATAAATAATCTTTGAAGTTTTTTTTAAATTGATAAACATAATGAGTACTTTGTTATAAATTTTCAAGAATTTCGAACTTTCAATTTTTCACCAGTGTTAAAATGTATAACCAGAACGACGATTGCAATATAAATAAATAATATGTAATATTAATTTTATTTTCAGTTTTCTTGGTGATCATTTCCGTCCTAACTGCCAATATCGCCCTAGGGCAACAACGTTTGACCCCTCCACTCCCCCAATTTTCGTTGATGTAAAATTGACATTTTACATTTTTAGCGTATAATTTACCTCATTATATATATTTATATATATTTATATATATTTATTTTCTATATATATAAACTATCCAAAAGAGTTTTTAAATTCGCAGGAATCTCTTGGATTACCACCTCATAATCTGCAATTAAAAATTGGATCGGTAATCATGATGTTGTGGAATATAAACCAGCCACGTCTTTGTAATGGCACTCGACTTGCGGTGAAAAAATTAATGAACATTATCGAGGGCACAATTTTGAAAGGGAAGAACAAAGGCAAAGACGTTTTGATTTCACGGATTTCTTTGATTCCAAACGACATGCCATTCGACTTTAAACGGTTGCAATTTTCAGTGTGGCTAACATTTGCAATGTCGATAAATAAATCTCAAGGGCAGTCGCTAAGTGTTTGTGGCATCGATCTTGAAAATTCATATTCTTTACATGGTCAGTTATAAGTAGTCTCTTCCCGTGTTGGAATACCAACAAATCTATTTATATATGCGTAAGAAAAAAAAAACTAAGAATGTTGTATATCATAAAGCATTAGAATAATAAATTATTTTTTTGAAATATTTTTTTATTAATTAAAACAAATTTGAATTCAATATTTATAATTAAGAAAGGACAACGTGTGTCGGGTCAGATAGTATTTAATAATTAAGATACCTACTTATTTATTATTACTATTATTATTATTATAACTGTAGTCAAATTTATTTTGTTTTTATGTTATTTAAAAATTGATGTTTCATTTTTTTGATTAAATTATAGAAAAATAAGTTATTTTCATAAAACTATAGATAAAAATTATAAAAAATGTTTGAACTCTTAAATGTCATATAATTATGAGTTATTCATATTATATTAACATAAGCGATTAGGGTAAATATTACAATTACTTTTTATATTTATAAGGCAACATAATCATAATAATGTTCTTATAATTTTAAATGTCAGATACAATATTCCAACATTTGAACATAGTGTATAAAAATCGCTTAAATTAAACAAAGGAATTTTTCTTTGCTTTAAGTTTTGCAAACTTTTCAACTACATTACGTTCTGTGTTTC